GAACCATCTCCTTTAGGATGAGTTCTTCTCATTCTGAACTCTTCTGGAAATGTTGGGTCACCTCCTTTTGTGGTGGATTTGATTGTTGTTGAATATCCCTGCATTTCTGTCAAAGCATTTCAATGAACATGAATGGGTGAGTATGCTCCTATTTATAGATGCCTACAGATGTATGCATGATGTCGTTTTAATATGGTGAGCTCTGTTGTCATGCAAATCTTTAATTCAAATGCATCATTTGATTTTCATTTTTATTTCACTTGGGCTACTTTATATAAGTTCTCATTTCTCTCGTTCCCTTATAAATCCTTTTCTGCTTCCATTTGAACTGCTCATCTCTGTCAGGTAGATAATTTTTGACAAATTCAGTCGTAGCACATACCAAAATATCATTGTTTTCAATGTACTCTTCGAGATTTCAATTCACATGCATTTCTTTGGCCATGTTTTACCCTACACTCTCCGACTATATACACGAGTATTAGGGTCCTGACTTACTTTAGACTCTCTGTACTGGAAATATTAGTTCAAAGTAATACCAAGAAATCTTTTATTTTCTTTTTAATGCTATGTCAATCTACTTACAAGATGTTTATGTGTATGTACAGAAAGAATAGAATTGGGCTTGAAATAACAAACTTCGAATTTACTGACAAGGAATTGATTTTACAAAGTGATGGCAATCATATAAATAGTGGAAATTTAGAACTACAAGTCAGATGTCCCTATAAGTCACTAGCAGGAGTATTCCTGAACCAATCCACTTGATATAACTCAGAGCATTGAATTGAGCTTCTGTCTGGAGGACTTCAAGGGTTGCCAGAATGTCTGTAGACGTGAAGCTTCTCTCAAAATTTCAGACTGTCGAGAGGGTTTAACTGCCTGATGCCTAATCTCAAAATGCCTTTGAACCGCCTTTTCAGGTTTTCAACTCAAAGCCTTCCTTTGGTTTTAATATGTACTTTGTGGATTTTCATCTCGAACCCTCCTTTTTCATTTTTCTTTTCATTTTTTCTTTTTTTCCTTTTTTTTCTTTTTTTTTCTTTTTTTTCTTTTTTTTCATTTTTTCATTTTTTTTATTTTTTATTTTTCACTTTTTCATTTTTTCATTCATTCTCTTTTTTTTTCAAGCATAGTACTTCTTGACAGAATCTGAGTTTATCGGATTTCTCAGTTTTTTTCCATCCATCTATGCCAAAATCAACACTCCCCCAGAAAAGGCCTTATTGACAACATATGGACCTTCCCAATTAGGCATCCATTTCCCTCGGAAATCTTTATGAATTGGCAGGATCTTTTTTAGCACCAGATCACCCTCTCGAAATTCTCTTGGATGAATCTTCTTATCATGAGCTCTCATCATCCGTTTCTGATACATCTGACCGTGGAAAATAGCTTTTAATCTCTTTTCTTCAATGAGATTCAACTGGTCAAATCGAGCCTGAACCCATTCAGCTTCATCCAACTTCACCTCTTTCAAAATTCGAAGTGATGGGATTTCCACTTCCACTGGCAAGACTGCCTCCATCCCATAGACTAAAGAGAAAGGTGTTGTCCCTATCGAAGTTCGCACTATAGTTCGATATGTATACAAAGCAAAGGGTAATTTGTCGTGCCAATCTCTATAAGTATCAGTGGTCTTTGTAATGATCCTCTTAATATTTTTATTTGCTGCTTCCACTGCTCCATTCATCTTTAGACGGTAAGTCACTGAATTAGAATATTTTATCTTGAACTGAGCACAAAGTTCTACCATCATTGTGTTATTCATATTGGTGGCGTTATCTGTGATGATTCTTTCTGGAAGCCCATACCGACAAATTATCTCTTTCTTTATAAATTTACAAACTGTAGATCTCTTGATATTGGCATATGAGGCGGCCTCAACCCACTTAGTGAAGTAATCAATTGCCACAAGTATGAAGCGATGTCCATTCGAATCCTTTGGTGTAATTACCCCAATGACATCCATACCCCACATAGAAAACGGCCATGGTGCAGTCATCACGTGCAAAGGTGACTAAGGTGTATGGATCTTATCTCCATAGATTTGACATTTGTGACATCTTCTTGCGTAATCAACACAGTCTGAATGCATAGTGGCCCAATAGTATCCGTATCTCATGATCTTCTTGGCCATAGAAAGCCCATTTGCATGTGTTCCACATATCCCTTCATGCACCTCTTCAAGTATACTTCTTGCTTCTCGGGCATCCACGCATCTCATCAAAACTTGATCACTACCCCTTCTGTACGAAACTTCCCCATCCAAGATATATCTAGCAGCCATTCTCAGACGCCTGTTGTGGGTAAGTTTGATGCTTGATGTATTGCAAGATGTCATAATACCATGGACGACCATCTACCTCTTCTTCTAGGCTATAACAGTGTGCCGTGGTTTTATATATTTGTATTTTAATTGGTGTCATGTCAGCTTTTCTATTTGCTTGAAACATTGCAGCTAGTGTGGCCAAAGCATCTGTCATTTGATTATCTTCTCTAGGGAGATAATTGAAAGTGACATCTTCAAATTCTTTTACCAATTCAAGGATCAATCTTTTGTATTCCACTAACTTCGGATCTCTTGTCTCCCATTCTCCACGCAATTGGTACACCACCAGTGAGGAATCTCCATATACTTTGAGCTCTTTAATTTTTCTTTCCATGGCCGCTCTTAACCCCATGGCACAAGCCTCATATTCTGACATATTATTGGTGCAAAAGAACTCCAATCTGCTTGTAAAAGGATAGTATACATCTTCCGGGGAAATTAGTACAGCTCCAATTCCTCGTCCTAAAGCATTGGATGCCCCATCAAAATATAACCTCCAAGACTTATCATTTGAAACTGTTTCATCCTCGGTTGTGACGCACATCAGATCTTTGTCAGGAAAATTAAAGTTTAAGGACTCATAATCATCCGAGGCATGACTTGCAAGAAAATCTGCTATGACACTCCCTTTGACCGCTTTTTTGTTTACATACACAATGTCAAATTCTGATAACAACATCTGCCACCTAGCCAATCTACCAGTTAGAGCCGGTGATTCCATCAAATATTTCAATGGGTCAAGTTTGGATATCAACCAGGTAGTATGGTACAACATGTATTGCCTGAGCCTTCTGGTAGCCCATACCAAAGCACAACATAACTTTTGAATTGGCGGATATCGGATCTCACAATCTGTGAACTTTTTGCTTAAATAATAGATGGCTCTCTCTTTCCTTCTAGATTCATCGTGCTGTCCTAACACACACCCCATCGAATTCTCAAATACCGTTAGGTAAAGGATTAATGGTTTACCAGGGACTGGTGATACCAGAATTGGAGCATTAGACAAATATTTCTTGATTATCTCTAAAGTATTTTGGCACTCGTCATTCCAAACTTCGGGGTTGTTCTTTCGAAGCAACTTGAAAATTGGGTCGCATTTCTCAGTTAATTGCGAAATGAATCGAGATATATAATTTAACCTTCCCAGAAAACCTCGAACTTCTTTTTGTGTACGAGGTGGCGGAAGATCTTGAATGGCCTTTACTTTGTCCGGATCGATCTCAATTCCTCTTTGACTAACCACAAAGCCTAAGAGTTTCCCTGACATTACCCCAAAGGTACATTTAGTTGGATTGAGTTTCAATTGATATTTTCTCAATCTTTGGAAAAGTTTCTTCAAGTTTTGAATGTGTTCTTCTTCAGTCTTGGATTTGGCAATCATGTCATCTACGTACACTTCAATCTCTTTGTGCATCATATCGTGGAAAAGAGTCACCATAGCTCTTTGGTAAGTTGCCCCAGCATTTTTCAAACCAAATGGCATCACTTTATAGCAAAATATGCCCCACATAGTCACAAATGTGGTTTTTCCATGTCTTCAGTGTTCATTTTGATTTGGTTATAGCCAGAGAAGCCATCCATAAAAGAAAACCACGAATGCCCAGCAGTGTTATCCACTAGAGTATCTATATGAGGCAATGGAAAATTGTCTTTTGGGCTTGCTCTGTTGAGATCTCTATAATCCACACACATGCGAACTATTCCATTTTTCTTTGGCACGGGGACTATGTTAGCGACCCATTCCAGATATTTTGATGCCTGAAGAAACCCTACATCAATCTATTTTATCACTTCCTCTTTAATTTTTAACAGCATTTTTAGCCTCATTCTTCTGAGCTTTTGCTGAACTGGCTTACACTCAGGCTTTATTGGAAGCTTGTGCACCACTATGTTTGTACTCAACCCTGGCATATCTTGGTAAGACCACGCAAAGATGTCTTTGAATTCTCGGAGCATATCTATTAGGTCTCGTCTTATTTCAACTGAAAGTGCACTGCTGATTTTTACTTCTCTATTTTCATCATCAGTTCCCAAGTTTATAATCTCAGTCTCCTCCTGGTGAGGTAAGATCTGCTTGTCCTCATTTTCCACCAGTCTTACTAGTTCGTTAGGAACATCACATTCTACCTCATCCTGACACTCATTGATTTCTTCCAGACATATGGGTCGCTCAAAGTTTATCTCAGGATTAAATTTAGAAACATTCATGCTATTGATATTGTGACACCTGCAAATGGAAAAAATTGAATCGAATATATATTTGGGAGGAGAGACAAAATTTATGAAATGAATGTAAAGAATGAAGAACAAAGAATGAAGAATGAAAATGTAAATAATGATGGCCATTTGAGAAACAAAAATATGTCTTTCATTGAAAGCAAGTAGAGTTAACATAGCTGCCCTTACAAAAAGATTCCTTAATACTCGCGGGCACAAGTATAAGGATTAGTTCTGGGTATTACTCTGAATTAATCTTAACAACTACAGGGAGATCCTCTGCAGTCCAATTTTTCAACGTTTCTCCTGGGAAGCAAGGACGAATTCTAGCCAAATATTTTCCCGCTTTATCGTCCCCAGTTATCATGTTGATGACCAAACCCTCCATGGCTTCGTCAAACAAGTCTTTGTCTTTCATCTGCTTTCCTTCATCAGTTGCTCTGGCTAACTATTGCTCCATATCGTTCACTCCTCCAAACTTGAATGAGCTCTTTAAGGGAGGGAAAAACATACGATCCCACGGAATGTCCTCTCTTTTCAGTCTAGCTCTTCTTACTTCACATCTCCTCTTTAATTCTTTCTTTCTTTGCTGAGAATCAGGCTCAAACCCAAGCCCAAAGCGGTCGCTCTTTATCATAACAAATTTGGGATGTAAAGTCCCCTGCAAGCATCTATCGAGACCCTTTCCAATTTTAGCTCTTTTTTCTAGAGTCTCTCGCACAGTCATCTTAGTGCACTAAGATAAATGCGGGTGAGGAATCTTGTTTCCTTCAGCAATGAAAGTAGCGTTGACAAATTCTAAGGCTCTGAAGGAACACTCTAGGGCATTCTCATTGGTCTTAATGTAAGGGGTGTCAGTCGTCACGGAAGCAATGATCTCTTCCTCTGCCCCAATACTGATTAACTGGCCATCTGTCACAAATTTCAATTTCTGATGCAATGACGAAGGGACTGCCCCTGCAGAATGAATCCATGGTCTCCCAAGCAAACAGTTATATGATGGGTTGATATCCATTACCACAAAATCAATATTGTAAACAGTTGATCCAATCAATAATGGTACCTCCATCTTTCCAAGGACATCCCACTGGGTTCCATCAAAGGCTCTAACAACATTTTGGTAGGCCCTCATATGTGAGTTGTCCACTGGTAATCTTCGTAATGTGACCATAGGCATAACATTGAGTGCCGACCCATTGTCAATCAAAACACCTGGTAAGACATGACCATGGCAGTGGGTTGTGATATTGAGGGCTTTTACCGATCTCATTCCACCATCAGTGAATGTTATATAATTGTCTGCAGCTATATGCCCCACAATTCGATCCAACTTGTTCACTGTTATATCCTCATGCACAAATGTTTGATTGAGCACTCTAAGTAGAGCATTCCGATGTACTTCTGAATTCATTAACAGATCCAGAATTGAAATTCGTGCTTGTTGCTTATGTAGCTGCTCTACTACACTATACTCACTATGTTTTAAGAATTTCAAGAATTCTTGTGCTTGTGCTTCAGTTACCGACTCATTGATTAGTGGTAGGGGCTCATCATTAAATATCCTTTGCGGTACCACTGCAGCTTTTCCTTTTAATTTCCCCTTGTTTGCTTCTTTTGATGTTTCAGGAGAGTAACACCTTCCACTTTTTGTAAAGTGCCCTACTTCACTCACTATTTCATTCTTCAAGCTGCTTCCTGGTGTTTTATCATTTTCTTCAGCTACTTTTGTTTCCTCTAGCGAACCAGATCCCCTTATCATTGAAACATTGGCAGTGTAGTTCCAAGGTACCTTGTGGGTATCTTTAAACGGAAATGGTGAAGGGGCCGTGATAACAACTTTTGGCTTCACTGACGTGGAATTCATCGCAGATGGTCTCACAGTGATGACCACATGCTTATTTGTTTTATGCATTGGCTTGGAATTTTCGGTTGTGCAGACATCTTCTCCTCTTTTTTCCTCATCTTTCTCAAAGAATTCTATTTCCTTGTTGTCCATCAACTTTTGTAGTAACCCCCTAAATTTAGGGCAAAGTTGAATTTTATGTCCTTCTTCTTGGTGATATTCACAATAATTTTCACATTCATTGGGCTTTGGTTTAGGATCTTGTTGAACCATGCCGACATGATAAAGTTGTTGGAAAACCCAAATGAAGGGAGATTTGATTTCATCAACATCTGTCTTCGTTTTTTTCCTATTCTCCTCATGGACTGCGTTCACACCTTTACCTCCATGATTCGGTAGTGGGTGTGTCGATACATCAGGTGAATCAAATTGCAATCCCCCATTATTAATCAGATTTTGCACAACTTTTTTGAAGGCCAAACAGTTCTCAATAGAGTGACCAGTAATTCCATCGTGGTAATCACAATGTGCATTTACGTCATACCAATGAGGGTACGGTGGTTGCAGAGGAGTCAAACGATAAGGGCGCACCACATCCGCCTTTAATAACAAGGCGTATATCTCAGAGTAGGGTACTGGTAGTGGTGTGAAGGACATTCTCTCATTCTCCTTGCGAGGTCCCTTGGAATCATTTCTGGCGGTGCTCGTGTCATTCCTTTCATCCATTGGTTGGGTTATTGTGACACTTTTTGAAGTATTCTTGTTGTATACATTTGCATTATTAACTTCGTTTTCTTTTTTCCGGTATACTAGTTTTTTTGAACTGGACCCATCAACTGCCTCGATCTTGCCACTCTTTATAGCGTTCTCGATGAGCTCCCCTGAGATAACTAGATCAGCAAAGTTTTTGGTGGCATTTCCAAGTAAATGCCCTAAGTACGGAGCCTTCAAGGTGTTGATAAAAATTACAGTAGCTTCTTTTTCAAGTAAAGGGGGTTGGACCTGTGCGGCTACGTCACGCCACCTCTGGGCATATTGTCGGAAAGTCTCATTATTTTTCTTTTCCATATTCTGAAGAGTCCACTGATCAGGAACCATATCTGTGACATGGCGATACTGTTCTAGGAATGCCTTTGCCAAGTCTCTCCATGATTTAATGTGAGCCCTAGTTAATTGGTTGTACCATTTGGCGGCAGATCCTTTCAGACTGTCTTGAAAACAGTGAATCAGTAGCTTTTCGTCTTGCACATGGCCGGCCATCCTTCGGCAAAACATGGTGATATGAGATGAAGGGCATGTGGTACCATCGTATTTTTCAAATTCGGGAACCTTGAACTTCATAGGGATGATCAAGTCTGGGACCAAATTCAGCTCTCTAGCGTCAAACCCATAGAATGATTCAACCACTTCTACCGATTTTACCCTTTCTTCCAAATTCTTCAACTGATGAGTTATTTCTTCATTGGCTTTCTCCTTTTCGGCTAACTCATTTAGATCTGGGATTAGGTGCTCAGTACTAAATTCTCCTAGCCTTACTCCTGGAACAGACTGATAGCTATTTGGGAATGTGGATCCTATTTGTTGTTGTTGATTCTCATTGCTGACATATGCATGAGATCGAGCTTCTTGAGGTATCGAAGAACGAGCAGAGATGTGTATAGGTGTGAAACCAAGAGGAGGACCAGATTCTGTTGTGATCCCTGGAGGGGGTATGGAATCTTGGTTAGAGGAGGTGGGATTTCCAGCATGACTCTTTTCAGCATGTTTCTTGAATAGGTCCTCTAATTTCTGCAGCATATTCAGTTGTGAACTGGCAATATTGGCCTCAATCTTTTCAAATTTACTTCTCATTTCTGCCTGCATATCTTTCTGCTCTTGCTCGAGACGGTCCAATTTGTCGTCCATCTTCTTACTCACTTTCCTGGTATAGTAAGAATGTTGTGTTTCTTTGTTGCTAACAGGGGCCAGGGTAGCTGCGATTGGAAACCTTATCGTATTATTTTGGTGCTTTTAATTAATGAATGCATGTCTTAATGCGAAATATTTAAAATTCATACATAAATAAATACAAATGAAGAATGAATGTATGCAAGAGGTATTGATCCAAAAAAGTTAATTGTCATAGAACAACTTCCATTATAACAAAAAGTTTTCATTACATAATAGTTCACTTCTACAGATACGGCTTAGTTCAACATCCATTGCAACAAAAAGTTTCATTACATAATAGTTCACAGATACGGCCTAGCTCTTCTATTAAGCTCAACAATTTCACTAATCATCCACAACATCTTCTTCCCACACTTAGAAACCGGATTGATGTGGTGCTCGATGACCTTTGCTTCTACAGCTAGTTCTCCAATGTATCTGGTAACTTCACTCATCTTTATTATGGCATCGGCTACCATGTTGCTTCTGGCTGCATTTTGTTCTTCATAGAAATCATTTGATTTTTGCCACTATTCAGTAGTTCCTTGAAGATTTCGCTCTAGCTCATTAATTCGTACATGACAACTCTGCAGTGCACTTTCCAGATGTTGAATTCGCTTTCGCAGCAAGGCATTCTCTTCAAGACTTTCCTGAAGATCACTCGGTCCCCAGAGAACATTTTCTTGGAACAAGGATTCTTCGAGTTGTAGGATGTAATCACTGAATTCTTTGTTTTTAGCCCGACACTGAGCCAGATCCTCTTCAAGTCTTGTATGTCTTTCCTGCATCCTTCGATTGAGACTTCGTACTTCTGTATTTTTGTCTCCACACCTTTTTATCCAGCCGTTGGTTGTCTCTTGCCTTGCTTCAAGCGTAGTATTGAAGTGTTGCTTTTCCAATTCCCATCTCTTCCTTTCAGTATCAAATTCTTCGATTCTTTGTCCTCTATCATCAAGTTCGACAAGCATGTTATTCATTTCGGCTTCAAATCCTCTAAACATGATGGTCTTCTCAGCCTTGAACCCCTCAAGAATGTTATTCTTTTTGTCTTCCAGTTCTTTGACACGATCTTTCTCCCTTTATAATTCTTTCATAGCTTCGCGATTCTCAGATTTATATTTTATGATCCGCTCCCTCTTATCAAGCTCAAGCTCTTCTATTTTTTGCTTCCCTTTCTCTAAGCTCTTGAGTAGACGATCGTTTCTTGCCTTTATATTTTTGACTCGATGTTTCTCTTCGTTTAACTCTTTGGTTAATTGTGCTGACGTTCTGCTTGACCCAACTGTGGACCTAGATTTTTGCAGCTTGTAGTAATCCTTCTTCAGATCTTTTAAATCCGATTCTATTTTTTCTTTTCTCACTTTTAGCATTGCAAATTGTGCAGCATGAAAGTCAGCATCGATACTCAATATGTATTTGTCTTGTCGCATCTGTTCCAGTTCTTTTGACCAACCTTCTTTCTCGGCCTCGAACTCCGTTCTCAAGATCTCTACCTCTGATGGGACTATCTGAATTCTTTCTTCCATAGATATATCCTCATTTTGGTCAGGTAGAGGAATATTTTCATTCTTTCTAGCATACCTCCACTCCTCATAATCTGGCGTCAACATCACTTTGGCTGCCTCAGCTCTAGTACGGAAAGTCTTTTTCCATGCTCTAACTGCCTCATGGATGTTCTTCTTATAATTTTTTCCGTGAAACACGAATTCAGATGAGTGCAATCTAGCAGTGACTGGGACAAATTGACGGCCATCATATTGCCTCAAAACCAAAAGGGGTGCGTACCCAATTCCTCCCCACAAACCAAGCAGCATCACCCAATTGTAGTCACCACATTTATAGAGGAGTTCACTTTGTATTTGCCAAGGGGCGCGCCAAACAATGTCCTTGTCTCGCATATTTCTAAAGGCATCTATCCACATATCTTTAGTGACTCCTTTTGGCCAATCTTGCTCGAGGAATTCTCTCAAAGGCGAGTAGTTGGTACTAAAACGATGATATGAAATCTTTTCAATTTTCCAAAAATGACTACGTATCCAGACATATAGTAGTTGTGCGCACCCTGAAAATCGACCACCTCCAAGCCTTCGACAAGCATTCAAGGATCAGAAGGTCTCTGCTAAAATCACAGGAGCAGGGTTGATCTGTTTTGGTAATTGTTCAAATAAATCCACAACTGCAGCCTCAATATATCCCAAGGCCTTCGGGAAGATGACTAAGCCATAAATACCCAGTGCAAAAAGATCAAATCGAATTTTCTCGTCAGGATGACTTTGAATAATTTCTTTAATAGAAGTCCAAGAAATACCTTCGCTTTCGCCTTTTTGTTTGGTACGAGCAACCACCCATTCCTCGCGCACTCCCGCAATTTTTGCTAATTTGATTCTGAAGGGTTGAGTTCTGATGGACTTGGAATAAATCCGATTCTCTTGAGCCTCTTCTATGTGCAACAAAGCAATATATTCTTCGATGGTAGGAACCATATCTTCTTGATTGAAAGTGAAGCAGTTGTAACCTGGATTCCAAAATTGAATCAAGGCTCGGAGCAGCTCATCCTCTATGTCAACATACAACAGATAGGAAATGTCCCCATAACACTGGTAAAACTGCAGTTTCTTACTTGATTCCCATTTTTCCCAAATGTCTCGTAAGTCTTGGACGTCATTTCTTTTAAGAGAAATAGGAGCATAACCCAATAATTCTGACACATGATCGGCTTCCAAACTGTCCCCTTCTTGTCTTTGTAGTGCTTCAGTCCACTGTCATACCTCGGAGTTTTGAACAATTTGACTCGAATACTTTTCGTCCATTACTGAAAGCTTTCCAATTTGATGATTAACTAAAGATCAACACCCTCAATCTTGAATGATGCAATGCAAATATCAAAAATGAAAGGAAACAAGAAAATGAAACAAGTTAGTACATGTAATGAGTTAATAAAATTTTGGAAAGAAAAAAAAACCTACCCATCATGATAGCTACCCAAACATACTTTTTAATAAATAACAATCCTACCCAATCATGTTTTCTAACCCATATACTTAAAATAATAAGATAAACCTTAAACCGCATAATTTTCTAATTCACATGCATTTATAAAAATAAATTTAAAAAAGGTTAGAGTTCATTTCTCCTTTGTGTACACTTATTTGGGTACCTATGGACAAAGTTTCGGCTTGGTCTTAAATCGGGTGGGTTTCTATGGTTTATTATATGCATAGTTTCGGTTCTAAGAGTAAAGGTACTCGAATTGTCCTTGTTGGTGCCACCTTGGGCGAGCCAGACCCTCAATCCTCACCCATTATAGGCTTAAGCGGATCGAGTTCAATTCGAGGGGGCACATTTCCCTATGCCTGACACAGAGAATAAATTCTCACGAAGACATAGGATATATGTACCCCGGAAGCTAATTGCTAGGTCTGACACGGAGAATAAATTCTCACGAAGACGTCGCTTTCACTCCCACTTAAAAGGAAGAGCTCGTGTATATAGCTTATGTTATGCAATGCAAGTGTTGTGTGTGAGGAGAAATTATCAAACCTTTGACAAACAACGACACAAAAATGAACTAAAGCGAATCTGAGACTTTAACATCTGAAAATTAATCAAATACACTCATTAGTATACAAAGATATTAAATAACAATTGAAAGGAATCTAAGGAATCGTAAATTAAATATAACCGAATTCTCAATTTCTAACTATAGACACCATATATAATCGATTTAAGGCTTGAGCCTCTAATGTCCCCAGCGGAGTCGCCAAGCTGTCGTAACCGATTTCCGGCGATACGACGTGTCTCGACTCATTTCGTGAAAACTCGGTTTTGTAAAAGAAATGTTTCAGAGTCGCCATCGACCTTTTGGGTTAGGTAGGCCGAATACCCAAAAATCTTCTTTTAAAAGAGTTTTTTTAAGAAAAACATCATTTTAAAAGATGCACGATCCACGTATAACCAGAAATTCATTTTTAGTAAAAAAAAGTTCGGGGGTCGATTACGTATGGGGAAGGATTAGCACCCCCACAACGCCCAAAATTGGTACCCATCGATTATATATTGTCTCTAAATAGTAGAAATCTAAGAATTCGAATATATATTTAGATCACGATTCCATTATTCCTAATTCAACCATACAAATATTATATAACAAAAATTCTAAGGAAAAATATAAAATATTCTCTTATTTCCAATTGAAGAGAAAATACTCCCTAAATACTTTAGGACGAATCTTTCTCTTCCCAACTGAAATAAAAAGAATATAATAATTTTTCCTAAGGATTCCATATAAAAAAAATTATTCTACCAAAGAAAGAAATTAAATTTATTAATTCGAATATTATTAGAAAAGATAAGGGATATTCGATAATTTAAAAACACCGAGACTTAATCTCTAATAAAATTAGCAAATTGTCTCGATAAATTTAAAATAATGAATATTTCCTTTTCCCTTCAAAATTAATTAATTTTAAATGCAATCAATTTTTTTAGGTTTTTCTAGTGGGATATTTATTTATTTTAAAATATCGGAAAATGACATCTAGTTGTTTTAAGATTGTCCCTTCTTAATATTTTAAAATACATAAATACTACCCTTAATCCAATTATATAATCGATTAAGTTATGTTAATGAGGCTTTTAAATAAAATAGAATATGATACATTGAAGCACTTAGCAAAAAAAAACACATGGATTAAAAGAACCATTTTAAATATTTTTTTTAACTTTATTTTACTTTATAAATATATACATATTTTCTAAATATTATATTAAACATAGAACATGATATTTATTCTAAAATATAATAAAAATAACATTTATACCATGCTCTACGTACAATCTTATGTACATAAAATATTGTATAATAATACAAGTAAAATAAATACCTAAAACATGCTTTAATGGTACAAATAAATAATATACACTTGGATTTATTCATAATATATTGACAAAAAATGCATAGCAAATTTGAAATCATAAATATAAATAAAACAAGCATCAAGGTATGAAACATGAAAATGTGATAATATGAACCCAAAATCATAATAATACATAAATATATAGGACTAAAATGAAATGACATAAAGATCGGTACCAAATTTCGAATACAACAAAAATACATACAACAAAGGACTAAATTAAAATAATACAAAACCAAGCATCTAATTCGTAAAACTTAGAAAATAAAAGGAAATGGTGACTAAATCGCAAACAACGCTAAAAGTAGGAGGACTTGAGACACGATTAACCCTGAAACTAATAACTAAACGTGAAACACACTAAAAAGGAGGACTTAAAGCATGGTTTACCCAAAAAACCTTAAATATCAATACCTCCCCCTCTTTCCAGAATCATTTTGCGTGGATTTGTAAACCCAAATCTCCTCTTTTCTTCCTCTTCTCTCAACCTATTCGACCACTACCCAACCGTAAACAACCGCCATAAACGGTGGTTCTTCTACCCTAACCAAAAAAACCGACGA